AACACCCGACTCTGCTGCAATGCTATCAGAACTTCCCCACATTTCATTCCAGCTAGCTTCCGTCGTGTTGAAGGCTCTCGCAAGCCCCGCCCAGTTGGCAGGTGGTGACACGCCTGAAGGCTCGTGGGGGCTTACAATGATGGATCAGGACGGGTTGCAATGGCAGCTTCTTTTGACTCGGACATGAAAGGACAAGGTTCCGGAACGCCTGTAACTTAGATTCTGATGTGCAAACTGATGCTCAGGTTGGACTCGACCTCGACCTCCTCCAGCTCGTCAGGCTCCAGCGGTTCTTCCACCGGTTCTTGCGCCAGCTCTTCTGGCACTTGACTAACTTCTAAGACATCCTCCTTCACCTCCATCCCTTCGTGCACAGACACTTTGCCCACCGGAAGCCCCGTCAGCGGCAGCTCTGCCACCGGTGTCACCGCTTCATTTGCGTCGTGAACCTCGAGCATGTGAGCGGCCGAGGGTGCCGGTGGCAGCTCCGTGTCCTTGGACTGGTGGGCGGCAGTGGGCTCCGTTGGCTCTGCGTGCTCGTAGCTCTCTGCGTGCTCCGTGTGCTCCGCATGCTCTGGCTCCTCCAGCGGCTCCAAGACCGACTCCGTCTCAGAGCACCCGGTCTGCTCCGTCTGAAGGGAAGAACTCGGCGAGAGCCGGTTCGCGCCCGAGCCCGAGCGCTCTCCCTTGGAGCGGCTCCCACGTCGCACCCGTGCACCTGTGGCCCCGGGCAGCGGTGGCGGCCGGCCACTGTCCTCCACGGGCAGGCCGTCTGCGTAGCGTTGGAGCTTCTCCTGGGTCAAAGCAGTGCCTCCGATCCCTCCAAGAAAGTTTTAAAGAGAGGACAGAAAAAATGTCTGAAGTTTGAGGTCTTTGAGAGAAACTCCTGGCCTGCTCGGCCTGGCGGCGCCGGGAGTGGGAGCGGCGCTGCTCCGACGTCAGCGGCATTTGGGGCTCCGCTGCCTTGAGCTCTGCGATGGCTTTGGGATTCCGATACAAAAGGCGCCGCTCCTTGGCAGCCGCCGTCTGCTCATCCCGCTCCTGGCGAAGCCGCTCCTCTGTCTCCTTCTCCCGTCGCTGCCGTGAGGCCGCACGCAGGGCCGCCGAGCGGCGCCTTTGCTCGAGCTCCTCCTTCGCCATCCGCAGCTCCTCCTCCACTTCGCACTTCAGGGCCTCCCGTGCCCGGATCCTTTCCTCCTCCTTGCGCCTTTCCTGCGACCGGTGCCGCACCCGCTCCTCCGCTCTGCGCCGAGCCTCCACGGAGTCCCCCGGCCGAGCAGGCCGCGCCTGCCGCGCCTGCACCGAGAGCTCGCGGGGGTTCCTGGAGCTCTCGCGGCTCTCTGCCCGCTGCGACTCCTCAGTCAGACTTCACGACTACCCGAAGCCCTCTCTCTGAGCTTTTCTCCCCTAAGGCCGGGGTCCTCCTCGTCCTTCCGCAGCTTGTCCTGTGCCACGCAACGCTCACTGACGCTACGTCCGCTATACGTTCAGCCCATCGCCTGCTGCTTCTTCCGCTCCGCCAGCCTCCAGGCAGAGCGGAGCAAAGCGCCAGAGAAGAGGTGGGTCTACGTGCAGCACGCGCGCTTTCTGCCTCCTCTTGGCGGCCTCCGTCGCTTCGGCTGCTCGCTTGGCAGCCTAGAAGCAGGAGTGCTCCGATGGCTTTCTGCATTGCGACCTTGTTCCCCCTGCCTCCTCTTCGCTGCGCCGCCGCTCTTCCTTCTCATGCTGCTCCTAGCACGAGGTGCGCTTGAACCGTGCTGAGTGCTGCATAAAGCTTGCCTCTCAAGTGAGCAAGCGGTCCAGCTCTCTCTTCTCTTTTGCAGCACGTTCCTTCTCGGATTTGATTCGCGCCTGCATCTGCAGCACAAGTAATCCAACTTAGGCACAAGCACGAACAATTACGAGCTGCCTGCATCTGGCGCTGCAGCGATTTAGCTCTCTCTTCTTGCTGTCGCCGCCGCTCCTCGAAAATTTGAGGAGACATAACAACGCAGACCCTTTGTTCTCTTGGTCAGCACTACCCGGCCTGGTCATGTCGCTTCTCTTCGGCTTCTTTGGCCATCTTCGACTCTTGCTCCACCCTGCAAGGCAGAGCCAAGGGGTGAGGAGGAGAAAGGAGCTCTGCGGTGCGGTCGGCGGCCTCCTATCAAGGAGCCTTTGCCGCTTCTCGTGCTCCTGCCGCCGAAGGCGCTCCTCGTGCTGCGCCTGGGACGGGAACCAGGAATCACGTCAGAGTCACGCACGGGAGCGAGAGGGAGCTGACGGATGCTGCTCCATTGCCCTCGGTGGTTAGACTTTCTTAGACCGGCTCTGCCGGGTGACTTAAATACAATCGCCGAAGAGCATTGCCAAAATAGCCAAACAGAATATTACCAAGAAAACATCTCTGATCTCTACAACTCATCGGCCGACGCCGTCGCGAAGAGCACTGGCAAAGCAAGTGCCCAGAGACGACCACAGAGCCGGACCCAGAGCATGCCCACATCCCAACATCATGCGTGCCTGATGTGCCTGTGCCCTGTCGCAGCTCACACCAAAAGCAACCGTCAACGACACTGGGTCTTGGGCACTTAACATGCAACATTGTCCTGCGGCCTGGGCATCCTTCTTTCGCTGCTCCTTCTCCTCCTCCTCCCGCAACCTCTCGAGCCGTTCTCGTTCCCGCACCTGCAGAAAAAAAAAACACGATTGCCTCCAAATGCTCTGGGCTCTTTCTAGCGAGGGCCCAGCCTCGCGAACACGCTGTCGGGTCTTGGCGATGACGTCCAGGTCCTTCCAGGTACAAACTGCGGAGCCGTCAGGATGCAGAGCCTCCGGCGATGGGGAGCCCTCCTTTGCGTCGGACCTCAATCGGCCAGACACTGTGTACAGATATCGTGTAGCTCCCGCACTAATTATGTTTCTGAATCATCAAGAACACGGACAAGCAACAGCACGCACACACACACACACACACAGACGCACACGTGCAGTATGGGTATGACAGAAACGATTCGACACAGAAACGTGTTCCCGCAAACAAGCACACTGCGTGAACATGATTGATTGACTGACTGCCTGTCGGTGCATCCCCTCTTGCTCTTGCAAGGCAACAGAGCCTGCTACATGCAGAAGAAGGGTTTTAATCCATTCTGATTCTGGGCCTCCGGACTCACCTTGCTCGCTCCAAGCTCGGTGGCCGTCGTTCCCGGAGTCCTCTGGGAGCTGAGCTGCCACAAATGACACGGAACGACCCCGTGCCCTGCCGGCAGCACATGGGAGCATGGCACAGCAGTCATGTACCTGCCTGTACTGATACAAGCAGATTATTCATAGTTACTAGACTGTGACCACTCTCCTGGATGGAGCTGCGGCCGCTAACTGCCAGGACCCTCAAGATTAACAAGTTTCAGGCGTCCTCTCCACGAAGAAGTCCTGCGCAATGCTGCTCCCAGTGCTGCTGTCATGACTTGCTGAAAGCCTAGCTCTAGGTGCCTGTATCGATCCCTATAGGCGATGGCATAATACGGATCACGGACCGCCGATCGCCCCCTGCCCAGCCTCCCTGCGAGGGCCGGCTCGACTCCCGAGATGCCAGCGCTGAGGACGAAAGCTGCCAAGTGGAACGGGGCACAGAAGCGCTGCAGAGCTGCCCCATGCTGAAGGGGGCATATGTAGTGCATACCGTTCTGGTCTCGTTTTCCGCTCAAGTCGGCGCATGAGCACGAGCAGAGCTCGAGCTCTTGGGAGTCCTGTCAAGTCTTTCAAGTCCGTGATGAAGTTCAAAAGAGAGCCTGAGACGTGACGTGTCACAGCGGAGCGCCAAGAGGCGCGCACAGCGGAGAGGGCGCCGGTCCTCGGCGATCCGCGGCCGTGGCCGGCGTTTCGGGAAACCTCTGCGAGGCTGTCGAACTCCTCAATCAACTCCACCTGCGCGGCGCTTACGAGCACATGCTTCTTCCTGTTGCTTCGCTTGAAGCACACGCTGCCTGGCGAGGGCTCAGGCTCCGCGGCAGATGCCTCACAGATGTCGGAAGCCCTGGAAAACCTCTCTGAACCGTCTCAAGCCCTCGACAGAGCAGTTGCTTTGCTCCAAGCTGCAAGAGGAAATGCAGGACCAGATGTCCTCGGCCCTGGTTTCCTGGCTTCGGAGGTCCACGGCCTCTCAGCACCTTGGTCGTGCCAGGCTGCGCCGGTGCCTCAGTGCTTGGACAGAGCAGCAAGCCTCGATCAAGATCCAATTTAAACCAACACCTCGCCAGGATCCTGGCCTGGATGATGAGCCGTTCGGTGCCGCCCTCGAGGTTGGGGATGGAGACCTATCAGAATCAGAATCACAGTGCCACAGCAAGAGACTGATCGAATTTCCTCCCCAAAATCGCCTCCGCGCCCAAGAGGGCTTCCCGCAGCGTCAGTGGCACATCCAGATGCACGTCGTCGTCCACTTGCCGAAACCTCCGCGATCGATCCCCACATGAAACTGGAGCGGACACGCTCTTGAAGCGTCAATTGGAACACAGCGAGAGGACAAAACGACTCCCAAGCCCCGTAACCGTAGGTAAGAAAAACCTTTCCTGGGCCCTGTGCCCAGGCCCCCCCCCCGCCCCACGGCTTGGACCTCTCCCCCCCTGGGCGCTGTGTCCAGACCCCTGCCTTATGCTTTTGCCCTGCACCCTCGGCCCCTGTCTCCTTTGTCTTGGGCCGCCGCCCCCCTGCTCTGGTTCCTGACCCCTCTTTCAGGGGGACTTTGTGATAGACCCTAAACCCATCTAAAACGTTATGAGCCCCAAGCCTTTAGATCTTCAGAAGTATACCGACCCCAGTAGACCGTAGGACCCGTATGCTTAAGCCCCAAGATCTCTAGACCTTGGACCCCGAGAGCGTAGACCTCAGGATGTTTAGCTTCAAGGTGATGTTTTAGGATTCGTGAAGTAAAGCTCGACCCCGGTACCCCCTGGGACTCCAGACCTGTACACGCTCAAACCCCCAAACCCCTAGACCGTAGACTTCAGTATCTTGAAGCCCTTGATGAACTCAATCCTGAGGCAATAAACAAGGTAAAGCATTAAAAGCTCTTTCTAAATCAAACAAAAGAAGATCGCCAAACTAGAAAAGGTCAGGCGTCTGGCGCTCCCGGGCCCACCCCCCCAATGGTATGGTCGTCTACTACGAATGGGGGGGGGCTCGTTGGAGCTGCCACTGGATGGTGGGGTGGTGCTGGCAGCCAGGGCTCACACGCAAGCCCTTCGCAAGCAAGCCGTAAACCCATAACGCAGCGCGTGCCCCTGTTTTGAGCAACCTTAACTTGTACTTAAAACCCTGCCCTACACCCAACCCTAAACCCCACCTAACTGCTACTAAAGCAGAACATACGCCGCTAATCTTCCCTAAACCCTTGTCGACTCGAAGCCTTATACCTTGTAACTGCAGGCAGCCTAACAAAATGCAGCCTTGCCACCCATCCGCTGCAACGCTACGGCAACGAACGGCTCTTTTGCTTGCACCAGGAGCCACACTGCTGCGCGGTCAAATCAGCTTTCAAAAGTCAAACATGAAGCATGCCGCGAGCTATCCGGATCAACTGCCCTCGCAAACATTCACACCGATAACACTATCTTTTTGATCCGGAACCCTTCGCTTGGCAGCTTCTTCACGAAAAACTGCGCCCTGTCGCAATTGCTCACGAGTTTCCTTAGCCCTCAAACCCTTAGTCAAACCGTCAGCTAATTGATGTCTCGTGGGAACCCAGAGCAATCTAACTCTACAAGCGACTTGGCGAGTCGTGAGAGCTTGACGAAGAAGCACTGCATGGACAACACTGGCTTTGTCGGAGATATGTTGGCCATCCTTATGAACCGTATCATAAATAGACCTGCAATCCGTAACCAGGGTCATAGGGACCAAATCATTCCATCCATCGTCATCGACACTGCCAACAACATCCGATCCAAAACGCAGCTCGCTCATCAGCACTTGACAGAAATGGCCCATGCCTAAACCCATCAAGGCCGCATGCGTTTCACCAGCGAAGCTCGACTCCAACACTCTACGATTGGTGCTACTCTTCCAGTCGAGAACATTCACATGCGTACTCTCGCCTCTGACTTCAGTGGATCCACGCTTAACGAAGCCCACCAAAGCGCCCTTCTGCGAATAAACAAGTTTCTTATCCTTCTGAGACTGAAGGATGTCTTCACACTCTTGCTCACTGATCTCAGCTCCGACACTCGAGTACAGACCGGCATCCGAATACACGATCAACTGAGCATCTCGTCCGAGGTCTCTGAACGTCAACAGCATACGATTCTCTTTCACCTCTCTCACAGCCTTATTAGCGCGACTGAGGTCAAAGACACGGAGATCAGCGATTCTCTTCTGAAGCTGGTTCGTCTCGAAACTCATATCAGGACGAGATTGGGTGGACAGCCACTGGAGACTACCAACGATTGACCTGTATTCCGCTCTCTCTTCTTCACTGGCATACTGTTCAGGACAACGCTTTCTGCTTGGTTCAATATCCATTTCCTCCAATCTGCCGTCCACGAAACCGTCTTGGGCGAGGGTGATATACGGTTGCGTATCCTTGCGAAGACAAATCTCCTTGCCGCAGTAGGTCACTCCTTGAGGCTTGTCCGCAACCCTCTCCCAAGTTCCAAAGGGAAATCTCTTTCTCAAACGCTCAATTGCATCCATGGCCTGCTGGGAACCGTCATGACAAACCATAAGGTCGTCAACATGGATTATCATAACACCGATCAACAGGCCTTCAGGATTTCTGAGCATGAACACTGCAGGATCTATGTAGGACTTCGAGAATCCCAACTCCTGGGTCAGGACCTTTGCCAGTTCCTCGTACCAGGCTCGAGGAGCATCGGGACGCCCGTACAATGGCTTAAGCAGCTTCAGGATCTGGTTTGGACCAACCCCTTTCAGGCCTTGCTTTGGAGGTCTCATGTACATGGCTTCCTTTCCTTGCAATGGTGCACCCTGAAAAAAGGCATTACTTATGTCACCGATAAACCAATTCTGGGACCAACCGTAGCTGATGCACATATGCAAGAAAAGCATGGTCGAGACCCTTTCAACCGTCGGAGAATCCACCTGAACCTGACCCGTTTGGGAGTCTGGGCATAAATGCCCCTGAAGGCACAACCGGGCCTTTGCCCGAACAGGGAGAGCCCTTCCCTGTTCATCAACTAATCCCGCATTCTTGTTTCGGTACACGTATCTACTGGGGAGGACTCTCTTGGGATTCTCCCTCAAAACTCTCGCACTCTCCTCCTCACTCAAGACCTCACAGCTCTCATATTGCCTCCAGCTCTGCCATTCTTTCTCTTGCGCCTCATGATAAGCGGCGCGCTCACTCTCAGGAATCTTCTCATACGGAACCTCTTTATCCATCATTCTCTTCAATTTGTTCTTTCCCACAATTTTCCCATGATGAACCGCGTGAACAGCAGCCTCTCGCTCTTCTCCTTCTCTCCTTCTCTTCATCACAACAGGCACATCATCCAAAGTCATCTCTCTCTTACTCCTACGACTAAACACAGTGATCAGGATTTCGGCAGGAGCCTGAGGGAGAAAACTGTTGGGATTGGAGAGCTCACTCCACTTCACGTCCTTTTCAAGCCAAATCCACTCCCCGTCAAACCGACCCCAAGTAGTTCTATAGGGATAGCTAGTACCTTCATACTTGGCTTCGGGAGTGCGATAGGCCCAGGCGCGACGTGTCACAAGCACAGGATTACCAGAGCTGTCCTGAGTCCATCCTACTCGCTTGACCACTCTCCGAAGTTCCTCAGGCAACTCGGTAACTCCTTGCTCAAAGTCACCTGCATCTCGTGCAAGATCATGTGCAAATGGCTGTTGCTCAATCTCAAGAGGTTCTTCGGTAGGAGGAGGTTGTCTAGTCAGGTCTTCGAAAGTAGCTTCTTTAGGGGTCTTCTTGAACAGAGCAATCGCCTTCTGAATCTGAGGATCACCGAAGTTTCTCTCATCCCCACAGGCTTCACGCAAATGCTCACCCGCAACCAGAAAGCATCTACCTCCTATCGCCACCCAAGCGCTAGACCCTTGAAGACCAACCACATAAGCGGGACCAACCCACCTACTCGGTTCTTTCTTCCGCTCGGCCCTCCAGAAGAAAACCATCTGACCGACCCTAGGGTTAGTAATCTTACGCACCCTATTGTGAGCAGTTCGAGCAAGCATCTGCCTAGCCTGGGATTTCACGTATTCCAGCTTGGCATGATACCTGTACCTCATGCGCCTAGCCACTTCACTATCAGGGTCTCCAACCCTGGGATGGAACATGTTTGGCTCGCCCTGGCTATGAAGTTCACCGAAAACCCTAGGCTCTTTCCCGAACACTAAAGCCACCGGCGACCAACCATGCTCCCTGACTAACGTGTTCTTAGCCCAACACACTTCCCGGCCGGCAACGCGAATCTGTTCTCGTCCCTTAACATGGGTATGCCTAATGACAGTCCTCAGCATGTCTTTGACAGTCTGATTATGTCGTTCAACCTTCCCTGCCTGCCAGTGTGCTGTGCCGGCTATCGACACGAGTGAAGCGCCGGACTCGCTGACTTGGTTCCAAAACTCTTTGCCCCGAAACCCGCCTTCAAAATCCACACTACCCTCAGCGGAGGTCCAGCCCACTTTGCCCACGCTCTGTCGAAAGCCCGATGAAGTTCGTTGGGACTGTGATCGCGAAGTAACTCAACTACATGATAACTGGTCGCCCTATCCACAATAGACAGGAACCAATAAGCCTCAGGAGTGTTATCATGAATACAGAAACAGTCCAAATGAACCTCGTCACCGAACGTGATAGAGCAAGGAGGTATATTCGTGGTCCGATGGGCTTTGGGCCGATTCGAATGGGCACACGAAACGCACTGCATCCAGTCGACAGCTTCAACAACTTCTTGTTTAGCCCCACCAAGCTTCAAAAACCGCTTAAGATCCGCTTTGCTGGAGTGTCCTAAGTTGCAGTGTGCTTTCCGTAACCCTTCCTTGATCTCGGGACTCAGCCTGCGCCCGCTGGGCACTTCGAACTTGACGCCGTCATAGGCCAGATCGCTTCTGAGAGGTTCCCCTCCTTGATCTACCCGATCAGCGGCGAGGAGCTCTTCGTCGGTTTCATCCTCCAGGGGATCATGCATGGGTGCATCTGAGTGGGCGTCACCGCCCCCTGAGGAATCTACCGCGAAAACTGCACTCCACCGTGCTAGCGCTTTACTGATGTTCTTTTCGTTCCATCGTAGATCGCGAATCACTTGCCGATTGCGAGGGTTCCGGATCCTAGCAGCAACTTGCCTAAGCATCTTCCGCACACGGCTCGGATCCTTCCGCTTCAACACCTTCACATATCCCTTGCAAATCGCTGAAGCACATTGCCTACCATGACTGTGGATCATTTCACGTAAACCTCCACCTCTCGAACCCTCACGACTCAGCATGTTGAGTTCTTCACAGATCTCGAGGGCCGTGCTCAGCCAAAGCACGGTATGGCTTCCAGAGAACCTTGATGAGGCATCCTTAGCGCTATTTCCTCGACTGTCAAGAGCGGTGGCATAAACCTGCGGGTGGTTCATGATTTTCTGAAACACAGGTTCTCTGAAAGCACCACTCGCAGCACAAGTACTCACAAGGACGTCGTCTCCTCGCTTCATCTGTCTCTCAAACACGCTTTCAACGAAGTGCACGAAAGGAAGTTGCTTTTCCCTATGATGTTTGAGCCTTCTCTTTTCTTGGGATGATTTCGACTTGTCGATCACATCGAGAGACTTGAAGTCGCGAGCACACGAAACCACCACAAGGCGAGGCCGATTCCGCTCAACCCACTCAAGAAGGCCATCATGCCGTTCAGCATCGCACTTACCATCACCAAGCTTCAGATCCACAGGCTTAGCAGTACTCCAACCCCACCGGCCAAAACTAGAAGACACCTGTGCTTCACCGTCAAACACCTCCAGTACATCTGGCCTGACAACTGCAGTACTGGGGACGGACTGCATAGCCATTCCGAGAGCAGCTGTGGATGCAATCATAACACTTGCAGCCACTGCCTTGGCCTTCCCGAGAAATCTCTTGATCGCACCCTTCTTCAAGTGACGGCGCCTTTCACACCCATCACGAATCCTAGCCCGTTTCTCGGGAGGCTTTCGGCATTACAACTCTTACAATTCAGAACGCTCTCCGAAGTGGATCGATGCTCTGAGGCAGCACCTGCCGTGGCTTCAACCGAAAACGTGGGATTCACTTCTCGATCTCGCCCTTGCTCTTCCGGAGCTGCTTGATCATTTCCATCTCCTCTGACGTCAGATTGGCGTTGATCACCTTGGAGGAATCCTCGTGGTCGGAATCCGGCTCGACGGGGAGGGGACCCGTCCTCGCCCATGACCCATCGGAGGAGTCGCCCCGCCACTCTGTCAAGCAGGGAGTCTTGCGACGAGCCGCATTGGTCGGGCCCTTCGGATATCCGGTGAACTTGTTCGGCTTCTCTTCCCTTTTCACATCTTCGGCGGCCTCCTCGAGGGTCTTGGCCTTGCGCTCTTTCTCCAGCCCGTCCTGGACCGTCTTTGCCGGCATGCCATTGTACGTGAGAGCCATTGTGTTCCGACACATCGGGAATCGGACGCACCCGAAGAAATCTTCCCGTGTCATCCTGTTGGTGCGGATCACAAATGGTATCTGACACGATTGGCACATCGGCGTCTCCGAGTAGAGGTCCTCGGGTTCGTCCTTCCGCGCCTCCGTAACCTCCTGGGCCCACATGTCGATCTCCGTGACCAACAAGGGACGTTGCCAACGGACCCAGTGATTGTCCAAGGGCCGCTGCAAATCCGGCACGACCACTGTCTCGTACAGGTGCTTGAGGGCTGGAACATCGTACTTCTTCCAACCGGTCGGCAGAGGGGCCGCCGCTTTCTTTGGCTTGATCAATGTCCATATCTGCTTGAGCCGCTCCATATCGTGCTTGCGCAACTCCTCCGCCGACACGGTAGTCCGTGCCATGATGCACGCGACATATTCTTCCTTCTTCTTCGGCGCAGTGTACTTGGAGACCATCGCACTCACTGTCACACTGTGGCTGATGGTTTGCTGATCTAGCTGAATCACTCTCCGGCTGAGCCACACACGGAGAGCTTAAATCATGCGGAGTACAAACATTTACACTACCAACTTCATCCTTCAAAACATGTGGCTCCTGGTGACCGGACGAAGTTTGGCACTGAAAACTCACTTTCCCAAAGGTCCTGGTCTTGTCGACGGCTTTCAAGGGGAACTTCAAGTCGCGCAGCAAGCGTCGATCGTTGTCCCCCAACTCGACTATCGCTCTTGAGGTGTAGCATGCGTGGGGAATTGATCTCGACTAGGTTGCTGCTCTCCCCACCAGAGCTGTAATGAATGTAGGTGTGGCTGGCTTGCACTCTCCACAGACTGGACCCTGTCTCTCTCTCTCACTTCCACACGTGCAATCTTATGCAGGCAGAACCGGCGGCCGTTCCTTTTGCACTCACTGCCGGCGGCGGTTCGTCTGTGCAACGGGATAGCTCTGATTGCTCAGGATAGAAGACACATATAGCACTTAGCTATGGGCATTGACTTGAGCCAAACGTTGCGTTGGCGGTCACATAGAATGGTAAAGATGAGGGACGCGTAGCGTGCCCCCTTAGAGTCGAGGGACGCGTAGCGTGCCCCCTTCTCTTGCACTTTACACGGTCTTGCTCACAGCTATTATAGTGACACCTTAGAACTTGACAAGGCATCGCAGTCCGTTCGCACCCCCCATGAGTTGCGTCTCCGACGCTGCTCACCCGGAAGATGGCACGATAGGACAACAGAAAATGTTCCGCCGCAACGTTGACATTGAAAATCAGAGCTTTGCATCCCAATTAGAAACGTTGTGACACTCATCTACGTCAGTAACGATCCCCTGAAATGGCAAACGAATCAGGCGTCACCGAAGAAAGAAGCATTCGCGATGGCATTCCATGGGCGAAGCTCAGAGGTCACGAACTGATAGGCGAGGAAGACCAAGCGTTGATTCATCTCCATCTTCGCGTGGTCGCAGGATCGCGGTCCCAGGGCCGGAGGTTTTCCTCTGGATACTGTTCCCTTTGCTTTCCTTTGTCCTTGCCTTTGTTTCGGCCTTTGCCGGCGGTGTAGTCGTAGTAGGAGTTGGAGTTCCAGCCTCCATGCTGCTCACCTCCGGTTCTCTCACGCCCTTTTGAAGGTCCCTTGGCCGAAGAAGCGCTTGCACGTTCCTCCGTAGTGACAGGCGTGTCCAGGATGGAAGTACCACCTGGAGGGAGATAGTCAGCGGCCGAAATGTGGTGTAGGGCTTCAGTACGCTTGGTCGTCGGGTTTTGCTGTCTCTCAGCCTTGGATCTGTTCAATCTGTCCATGAAATGCGCAGGCATTTGCACATTGTGGTCCACCAGCAAGCCGATGGTCTGGACTGAATGATCAGAATGAGTCAGCAGGATACCGACGGGGTCGATGTACAAGAA